CACTCCTCCTCCTCCTCCTCCTCCTCCTCCTCCTCCCCCGAGTGAGGCTCCTTCCCGACATTCGGTCCACCTTCGCTGAGGTCGTCGTCATCGCTTGAATCGTCTACAAACACAAGGGTGTGCTTGCGCTCCACGTTCCTCAGGTCTAAAGCTGCGAACGGAAAGAAGGGGACGCGCCACGTATGTCTCGTGAGGTTGCTGGATACCGGGAGGCGCTCGTAGGGCTTAGCACGACGGAGAGTGTTGAATGCAGGGGACTTTGCGCAGGCGATATTTTCCACCACCATGCAGGGGCCACAACCCAGTTGACCCTGCACACCTATATACAACAAGCCCTCTTGCTCCACCCAAACCGCACGTACAGGGCACTCTTGCCTAGTCGGTTTCGTTGTGATCCACCGGCATAAGGTCGTGACACACGGTCTATTGTGAAGAGACCTCGTTAATAACCTAATAACCTAACCCTAATGACGAAGGTAGAACAAAGTTTCGTTGCGCTCCCAACCACACACACGCGATAGCTGATATAAGCCGCCAGGAGGGGCACTGAACTAAACACACAAAGCCGCCGTGAAGGTGTACAACAGCATGAGTGGCGGGACACCCACACAAATACACACACTTGACAGCGATGGAGGGGGAGGAAAGGGTACGGGAGGAGGATGATACAGAGACCAACGCAGCAGTGGAGGAGGGAAATATGGCGTAGAAGAGAGAAAGAGCTTCGAGACAGATAACCTTTCCCACCGCAAACGAGGCAGGGGTAGAGGCGAATTGTCGAGATGTTTATGTGAAAACGGCCATAAGGACGAGAGATTTCGAAGGAAGGAAGGCGACGGTGAACGTACTCCAACACGATATCGAGTGCGAAGACGCAGCCTGTGGGGGATGATTGTCCATTGCTGTACCTTTCGTGGGCGGGGAGGGATCATCTTGAAACAATCCTGGGCCACGTAGGGCCCGTAGGGCCCTAGGTCCCTAGGTCGTATTTAATGGTGGTAGAATTTTTGTAGCATACTTGTGGTATCAGACGTCGATTTGTCTACGGCGAGGTGCTTATACCGACGAAAAGGCAGCTTCATACATGGCATTAGTCTCTCCCAGATTTGTCCGAATCTCCAACCGGCGACCTACTCGAAAATCATTGAAACGAACGGTGCAAGCAGTTTCCTTGATATTCTATGTGCCAAAACTTGGACAGTCGACACCCAATCAATCGAGGTGGAGCGGTTTTGATGGAATCGTGCAGGTGACTAGGACACTAAATAGCCGCGTGACCGATAAAGGTCCGTTTTCCGCTGTCTGTTTCGACAACGAATAAAACGATTCGATGGAGCAAGCGTGCCTGAAGATGTGCCGTGTATGGGTCACCCCATAAGCACTACGTTCCAATGTTGCTCTTGTTGCCGCGGTTTTTCGACAACTCGAGAACAAATGATCAACTGCAAACACACCGCGACGACAATCAACTGTAGACAAGGGCCTGTATTGTCTCCCCGTTGCTCATTGCACCGCCCTATATAGAATGGAGTTGTCTTCCAGACATATTCAACTTCTTGCGTGCGTGCGCATCGCAAGTCTACCAAAACAAACCTCTGGCGAAGCGACATTTAATGTAAACCTACCCCGTTCATTGCTACGAATAGCTCGCGTAGATACAGTCCTTCACCTTATTGTTAGGGAGTATCTGACGGGTACACAGTGGAGTGGAGCAATTTCGAGAGAATGGGATTGATCCCGGTTTAGATCGCCATTGTAACGACTCCCCTTCTACGCGAAGGACACTACTAGAGGTGGACGTGGCGAGCAGACGGTGAGCCAGGCCAGCAACTCGGTTTCCACGAAACCCCGATTGCCGGTTGTAGATAGTCTGTATTACACTCCAAGCACCTTGTACTCCCTCCGATCCCCCAGCCGGAGGTACAACGACCCCGCCCGGTAGGTGGGTTGGGAATACAGATAACGCCCGGCAATAGGAAACGCCAAACAGACTCGGGCCTCAGCTTGACAATCGGGGCAGAAGGATCAACAGACGTCAACCATCTTCTGAATACGGATATGTATCTTATTGCTTTGGGTGTATCGTTCTTTCTGATATCTTATTCTTCCTAGTGGCGAAGAATACAACACTACACCAAGCCTCAACGTACCATTAAACCGACTGCTCGGTGTGGGGCACATCGGGGGTTGTGGCAGTTCAGCAGTTACAGCCGTGGGTAGCTCAGCACCCGGCGGCGCTGGAGCGCCGGGGGTTGCCGCGGAAAAACCGCGCCCACCCCACGAAATCCGACATGACTTGAGCTAGGTAGGGGGGGGGGAGCATGGCAGCCTAACGAGCAGCATCAGCAGTGGGACGGTTATCTGGACATGCCCACCAGCTTCCACCCGTGGAATATTTTTGTATTCGGTTATCGCACGACCACGCGTCTGATTGGGACGCTTCTTATTTTGTCACCGAGACTGAGCTGTGTTCCTTCTTGACCCTATTCATTTTTTTCTTTTTCTTAATATGACACAACGAATCCATCTCCGTCATAGAAAAGAGACTGAGACAGATTAGCAATGAATTCATAGCGTCAGAAAGTACCTGTGTCTACGTTTTTTGAATTTTTCCGAGTACATGTTTTTTTGTGGGTGTTGTTTTTTTTTACTACTACGAGCGCACTGCTGTTACAGGAGATACAAACCTCGCCAGCCGACAATAAACCACTCACCGAAGTCGGGATAAACGTACGGTGGCCACTTGCGGCCGAATCGCCCTACCACCGCGATCGAGTTGAGCTCTGTACGGTTGGTAGCCACGCTCTTCTTCCCATCTCGTTTTTCCCCGGAAACACCCCCACCCCCCGGGTACAAGCAATCCGCGATGAGCCCAATGGCCTGATCCCTGATACTAGGGTGATGCCGCGTCGATTGCGGGTATGATGGTGTAAGCCAGAGAATGTTGTTTCCCTTCCCTGACAGAACGGAAGCGGCTGAGGCGAGCTTCTTCAGATCTCCCTCCGAATGGTCGGCAAGGGAAATGGAGCCTAGGACGATCCTGTGCTCCTGCCCGCTGATACCAGCCCCGCCGCAGGCGTCGGTAAATGTTAAAGCCTCGGGAGACACGCGCTCCAATAACGGCGTCGACTCTCGGAAATACTCCTCAAGTAGGTGATGCATGTTGGCCGGGCCCGGGTCGTGAGGAGTACAAGTTAAACAGTGTGCATGTGTAAAGACAACGGTGCGTGATAGGGTAACTGCGCGATCGCCAGCGGGGCACACACAAACTGGAAACATATCGGGGTATGTATGTATCCCGACCACGGTAACAGCGGTTGCCGCGTGATGCGTCGTGACCGGCTCACTACCGCACTATCCCTCTTCGCTCGGCTTGTTTTGCAACATGAAAGGTAAGAGGTTACACAGGGATGTCAGGGTTTTATTTAGTCGGTCAAGGACAAAATAAACGACAGAGTGTCTTGGACTCGTCTAAGGGAGCACGTGGCAGGGTAAACATTAGCCTTTTGAGGGCACAGCACAACGTAAACTGCTAGTTGGCCGAATACAACCTGGTCTTCTGGCGGCCTCCTCACTGTGTGCAACGCGGGTGGGGGGGAAACTTGATGGTGTGAGGAGACTAAGCACCAAGTAGCAGCGTCTGGTCAATTGCGGGTTTCAGGCCCCTGAATATTGAATATTCGGTCCTACATGCATATTATTCTTATTACGTCACAAACCTCCCACCTGACGGTGCCCCTTTAGGCCTCCCCTCGGCAGCTAGGTTCACTACGCGTCTTTAGACAACCTCCTGCTTTATTGTGGCTCGACGAAGCGTGCACGCTCTATGTCTCCGCAGTAGGGTGTAGGCCAAGGCCTGCTCGCCGCTGCCTCTCTCTCGGGCATGAGGCACTCTACTACAAACATGAGACCAATCATGTAGACGCTTGTTCCTTCCTGTCGCTGCCGCCGCTGTGGCTACACTGGACAGGCTGTCTCTCTCTCTGGTGGTGCGTGTGCTTCTACCTGTCTCTTTCTCCGTTTACATGGAAGTGCTCGGAGCCAAGACCGGTGAGTGGTGTACGCCTCTGACTAAAGACCGGGTGTAGTTAGTCCGCAGAACAAATGACTATGTAATCTCGGATTTGAGACGCATCTAAATTTCGGAACGAAATCGAGAAGAGTCAGATATTCCAGAAAGGATGTTGGAAAATGACCCCACCTAGTTCAGTCCCCCTTTTCTCTCCCGAAATACGCCGGAGCAGAGAAGAAGGGGTATATTTGAGACCATCCCACCCGCCCTACACAATGCTTACTATATTCATGAACTTGCTGATCATTCAAACACTTTGGGCCTGGGTACACCCAGCCCAAAGGGTTACTTGTGGCGAGGCCCTCCTGCAGGCGCAGGAGGCCTCACCCAACCAAATCCAATACTTACATTGAATGATCTGGGTAAGGGATAAGAATACAACAGTATTCGAGCTATGCATGAAATTTTTTGCTCTGGTTCATTTTTGCTGTTGTATTATTGCTCGTGGCCTAGAATCATTTAATCTAAGTATTGGATTTTGGATGATGCCTCCAGCTCTGAGGCCGGCGGTCCCACGGATGCACTGCCGCGCCGACTGCAGTTGGCGCGGCAATGAATCTGTAAATGATCCTGAGGCTTTGAGCCTCAATACAACATTAGCTGCAGGGTGGGTGGGGTGGTCTCGAAATCATTTCTTTTCTACCCTGTGTTCTCGCGTATTCACGGTAGGGAGAACGACAATGATCGGCTGTATGCAAATTTCAACATGTTACCGGGACAGACGCCTACATCCATTTTCGTGCCGAATTTGAATTCGTTTGCAAACCCGATTTTACTTCCTGTGAAGTTTTGACGTTGCGCTTGCCATCGTCGCTGAAGTGTTTGTGGCTTCAAACCTTCTCAGCCGGCCTTCAAACTTCTTGTTGATAAGTCTCCGTGGTAACTTCTTCGCGCATGAGTCATATGCAGGTATGACCTGCGCTTTGACTTTCACGATGGGTATTTTACCTCCTTGTCTTGCATTGGTGAGTACCTGCGTTATACGGAAGGATCGTTCCACGACGCAAACGTCGACGTCTGTCTCCGTTTTTTGTTTGGTTCCCTCCGCACTCCTTCCTTGCCGCGGTTTTCACACCGACTTCGAACGTGGGGTGCAATTTCCTCTCTTCGTACCTTCCTCGTCGGCCTTCTCCATCGTTATGTACATAATGTATACCTCGATTTTTCGGCTTTTCGATTCCGATAGAGACAAGACTACGGACTGACATGTCCCTTTCACCCCCGACGGGACCGCGCGCTCGTCGAGTGCCGAAATTCTTCACCACTTCCTTGCCTCTCCCAACACCGTCCCTTCTTCCCCCCCCAACAAATCTTCTCCCCTTCTTCTTCTTCTTTCCTTCCTCCCGGGCACTCACCACCATCCGTCCTGGATGTTGGCCCCCAGCCCCATTGGGGGGCGGGGGGCCATTCCTTAACCCTAGTATGTGTATATTTAACCAATCTACGGAGCCCCGCCACAGGCACACGCTGAGAAGACAACACGCAGGGCCGTATCTCCACCATCATTGCACTGAGACCGGTGTGAAGAAGTGGCGCGGAGCTACGCTGAATTATTTCCAACTCGAAGCCATCTTCTGGAGAGGGGGCAGCCCACCTGTTTATTTGTCCGCAACCCAAAGCACGCGGGAGGGAGCCAAAGCCAGACTGCCGCTGGGGCGTGCGTGGTGAGTGATTTTTCTGATTGATCGCATACCGGGAGGTAGCTATTGTGTGGACGGACCATCTCGCATGCCAGTGTAAGCGAAGGCTTGTGGGGCGTGGAAACAGCCAAAGGGAAGGTGTGCAACCTTGATCTCCGTTACTTTATTTTTGAAAATCAGGAAGAATACTGCGAGTTCGCAAGTCTGCCATACGATTCAGGTGACACGTGTGCGACAGCGATGCTGTGTGCGACAGCGGTGCGGTGGGGTATGTTTCATTGTGCTTCCATATTTCTTTGAGATGACCACTGCGCAAATGCTGTCAAGGCCTCAGCGTAAAAATATGACGTGCCGATTGGTTTTTGGATCAACGCATATCAGAAAAAAAAATCGTTTGTGACGCCGAATACCACCCCCCTTGCCCGACTTCAAACAATGGAACAATTCAACCATGGCCACTCGAAGAGCCGCTATTCAGACCGCGCAAGAGACGGCGAGCCTCGGGGTGTCGACCGTAGTAGAGTCGATTGCGACGGGAATAACCGAGATCGATGCAGCCGCGCCAGTCGTGGCTCTCTGCGTAGCCGTGCTGAAGGCCAAGGGTATCGTAGAGGGGGCCAGTCGCAACAAGGAGGAGCTGGATGTGCGCACGATGATGCTGGTGCGGGAGGTGGTGCCACTGCTTCTGGGGGAGAGCCTGGGGCGAAACAGGCCCGATCCATTTCTCCGGACTTCGGCGCATCGGGCGGTGACTTCCTGAAGCAACAGAACGGAGATGAGCCGATATCGCCGCCGCCGCCGCCACCGCCGCGTGTGGGTGTGTCTCGTTGCTAAGGTAGACCCATGTGTTTAATATGTTGTGGTCCCAAACCCTGATGAAGTGCATTTGCCATCTTTATTAACTCCGCGCCACCCGCTGCCACCGTCTTCGTCTGTTGCCTTGTTTTCAACTTTGATCATACAGTGGCATACAGATACCCGTCACCAGAAGCTGAAGAAGAAGCCGGAAATCGTGGCGGTAGGGAAGGATATGCCGGCAGCAGGATTGGAACTTGGTGTATCCTCCCCCAAGCTCGGTAGGAGATGAAGAAGATAAAACATATATCCAATAGATCTCACGGGATCGAAGGGGGTGAAAAACCTAAAACCGCTTTGAAAATCAACTACTTAGGAAGTCGCGACTGTGGAGACCAGCATCATCGCGCAGCTGATGCCCAAACCGAGGAAGGCGTTGGCGTTGAAAAGCGACGAAGAGGAAGCAGTCGTAGTGGTCTCCTCTTCTTCGCCGGGGCAAACGCAGCGGCGGTTGGGCATTATTTGGTTCCGAAGGCGCGAGCGGGAGGTGGAATTGATGGTATTTTAGTGCAAGGCCCTATGTTCTCACTAGGGTTAGAGTGCGGGGATGGCAATGCAGGGGATGCACGATGGAATCTTGCAGACGCGGTTTGCGTGTGCTTGTTCTTTTGGTGGGATACCACACATGAGTTGAGAACTGAAATGCAGCAAGGGGGAGATATGGGCGCGTGCTCTGGCTGCCAACGCCACCCAAATCGGAAAATTTGCCTGACGTAGTTTGCGATACGTTGCCGCACCTTCACAGGTGGTGCCCGAAGGATCCAGACAGTCGTAGTCGTTTGCACCGCATCTGTAGATCGAAGTGGTGTCGCATGTGCATTCACAGCCTGGGCAAACGACATCGATGACAGCATGTTGCGGACTCAACGGTTGCAAGGCTCCGAGGTAGATTCGAAAGATGCCAAGGATAGGATTAAAATACATCATCACCGAACGAACCCGCTGAGACCAGCAATTGGCTTCTGATTACGGGGAAGGATGGCTCTCGCTCAAGACATAATCTTTAAACCTGCGCGGCCGGCCATTGCTAGCTTTTTCACTCACAGTCTCCGCCGTCCCACAGGCAGTCCTCGTTGTTGTTGTCTGCGATACAGAGAAAACAGGGGGGTACACTGGGGTTTAGGTTGTGCGTCCGCAACAAGTTACAGCATACGAACATTGACGGCACATGGGGAACGCCTACCCGTCAACTTAAAACAGCGACCGAAACAGACGCCATGGGGCAAAGTGTGACCAGGGTGGGGGTGAGAGATGTGGTCGAAGTTACACCCCAAGCTCCAAGCATGAGACAGTGCAAGGAACGGTATACTGGCCTACAATACAAACCATCAACAGGGCCAAATCGGTGAAAATCCTGCGCCTCAACGCAAAGCTCCCTCCATGACAGGTGATGGTCGAGATCCTCTCGGCTTTCGAACGTTCTACTGCCTAAGGCTAGGCGTTCGAGACCTACCATCGTCACACAAGCCATCTCCGATTCGTAGATCGTCGCATAAGGACAAGGACGGGGTCGGAGATGGTGTCTCCGACACAGGCGCTGCGGCGCCGTCTACAAGGGTAGGTTCAGGTGTCGGGGCTGCCGTGGGTGCGGAGGTAATCGTGCTGTCTGCAGGGGTAGGTCCAGGTGTGAGGTCTGTCACAGGTGCGGGCGTAGTTGCTGTGTTGGACGGATGTTTGAACAAGGGGCGCCGGGGGGGTGCTTTCAGGCATCGTCAACATCGTGGGAAGCAATCGCTACAACAGTATCTGCAGACTCGAAAGGACACGAGAGCATCTTTTGGCTCTTTTCATGGACGGACGACGTTTTACAAAAACATGAGGTTATAGAGGCATGCATTTTTCTAACATTTTCAATGCCGTTACTCTGTGGCAAAGGCGAAGCCTGGCTGAGCCGCAAGCGTCCCTGAAACTTGTCTATAGACTTCAAAGTAGACACCACGCTTTTTGGGAGAAGAAAGCTTGTGCTACTACAGAACTTAGATCAGAGGCACATGCGTGGCAGGGCGGTCGGAGGAACCATAGCATGCGGAAACAGGCGAACAACAACACGCGACATCCAAATTGCGCACCCTGAACCGATGTGGCTTGACGACGACAAACGGAGTGAGTGGTACAAGATCAAGCCTGGCCGGAAGAGCAAACGAAAGACTTCCCGGAACACCATACCGCACCGTCAGGGTCGTCCCCATAACAGGACGAGTCTGGGTTGACGCAGTCGTAGTCCTCATCGCCCGGGGGAGGGCAGTTCTCGTGATCGCAGTCGCACCAACAACAGTCACCGTCATCGAAGGTGCAGTCGGCGTTGTTGTTGGCTGTTTAGGCATGCACGAGGCGTCGCAGAAACACAATGGGCCAGGAAACGTGCTCAAGGGGGAACATGTACTGAATACGTCAGAGGCAGAGGCAGAGGAAGAGGCGGTAGGTCTGAAGAGCTGACACCGCGAACGAAACCAAAGGAGAGGGCGAAGAACGCGGACACGCACTCGCGCAGTTGACTTTTGGAGACAAGATCGGCGCGAACACGGATTTAGAGCTCTGGAAAACTGTCGATCGCACCGCAAGTCGACGGTAAAACCGGTAAAGGAGGGCGGTCGAACACCAACCCTGAATCCTACCACGCGAACAACGCCGTTTGTTGCGAGTCATTTTGTCAGCCGTCTATTTGCGAGGAAGCTATTGTTAAGAAGACGTTGTGCGTGTCGTGCGAACGTGAAGACTTGTACCCGACATGATACCGTCCAACCAGGTACGTTGCCACCCGAAATACCACCCCACAAGCCACCACAACGGATGTCAATTTTTTACCACTGTAGGTATGAATTCAAACCGTTGTGATTGTGACAATAATTCCTGTTACCATACGGATGCAGACGCGCAGCAAGCCGCATGTGGCGTTGAAAGAAGCTGATGACCGACCAATGCAATCGGGTGGCTTCTACGGCTTATAGACGTCACCGTCACCGTCACATGCGGCCGGCCGAACGTCGAAATGAAAGCATGACAGCAAGCAAACATTAGGTTCCAACCAAAGCTGCCTCGGAAGCGCGAGGTCTTCAATACGTTGAGATTTTTCCTCCGACGGAAAGGGACTAGACCTTCTCACCTTCAGTGCAGATGCCGGTGTTATAATCCGCCGTTCTGCACGTTGTAGCTGGGCTTACGGGCCCAGGCGTTGGCTCAGGCGTTGGACTCACGGGCCCAGGCGTTGGCTCAGGCGTTGGACTCACGGGCCCAGGCGTTGGGGAAATCGGCGCAGGCGTGGCAGCTACGACGCAGAATACAACAGCCGTTGGTTGGAGACGGCAGTGTGAACAAAATCAGGACAGAGAGTATGTAGCGAAGGATAAGCGTTGGCCATGTCGCCGCTTCCAACGTTCATGCTAGGCGTCACAAAGCAACGCCCGTCGAGCTGGATGATGCGGGTGACCAATGGGAACCTGATATGACAATCCCATTGGAAAATCCACTAGAAGCAGCACCTCTGGGCAACTTCATCCTATCCTGCCCCACCCACGTCTGTCTCCGCGAGACGCTTCCGGCACACGCTAAAATCGAAGGGTGTGGAGTAGGGAAATATATCGGTTATTGGTGGGCCGTTGTGGGTACCTCCCCCAGGTTCCAATCCCGTGTAGAGCAGTACGACGACGTACATCTATTTGGCCGTTGGAAATCATCCCCGGCATGGCCTTTTTTGTACAACAGTAGTAGAAGAAGCGGTTGGAGTTCTTCAGCGGAAGACTATTTACTATTTACCGTGCAACATACTCCAAAGAGATACCGCGTTAGTTCGCACCGACTGGCCCTCTGGCAGACATGATCGCGTGTAGCATACGTTGTGCGGCTTCGAGCTTGCGAAGAAAACCTGTATACATACCTAGCGGGCTACACCATGCTCCAGGGTCGATGCAATGGGTATCGTACCCCTCTTCCACGCAGTTTCCGACGGTGCAAGTACACCAGCAGCAATCTCCATCCGAGTAGTTACAGTCCGGGGTGTTGATCGCTGTGTGGGAAGCAAACGTCATTTGGAACAGCAGTCTTACGGGTTTTGGTGCCCGCCGCTCTATGTACATACATGTGCACCCGAGAGGAAAAGAAGGGTGGGAAAATGTTTCCCACGATCGACTTAATGCAATGTTCGATCGTGAAATGGCGAAACGAGCCACCCTCCTGCCTTACAGCCATGAAGGGGTAGACGGACCCGTCTCCGACACATCCAAATACATGGGTAGACGTCTGGAATGTTAGGTAAGCAACATATCCACTGAGCTAAACAGTCAGCGAAAAGGGCGTCGACATGGTCCACAGAGGGATTTTAACCAACGTACTTTTGTTAGGTACAAGTACATTTAACAGTCTATACGTACGCTGACTGTTCACCTCGGTGGATATGCTGCTACCTAACATAGAAACGACAAAACAGCAGAGCAACGCTTGTACGTGAGGGGCACCCTTGGAGCAGCTTCGTTTTTAGTGCTAATCAAGAAGGGTAGGTGACCTCATATCACCCGCACGTACGTACCGTGTGAGGTAAGGGTGGGAGAGAGTCTTGGGGCATCGGACCAAAAGTCACCAGGTGGGGTAATATTATTGCGGTCGGGACAAGGGTGTTCACTCAGTAAAGGCCAACTCCAACGGGTGTGAGCTGTCACTTTCCCGTGATGTCGGGGTGGCAAGCTCTCCACCCTTTTACAATACAATAGCGAATTGAACCATCGGATGTGTAGGTACGGCGGGGCAGCGGTCCGGAACGTTTTCGTCCTCAATCTGACGGCAGCAACAGAATACATACTTCATAGTATCATACTCTACCGTGTCTTGGTGGGAGTTGACGACAATCTGCGAAAAAAGCAACAACCCTTGTATCCTAATTTATAAGTATTGTCTCCTCCGAAGTAGTCTGGTTGCCTTGTAACCCGAAATTATAAACCGTGACCACGTGTGTTTTTGCAACAATCGGGCCAAACGAAATGTTGGTACAACCGCGTCTGTTAACGTCGACTTGCACACAGCAGTCGAATGGCTCGATAAGTTTATTCGTGTATTATCGGTTGTCACACACCCGCGTGGTGTGAGAGGAGAAAGAGAGACAAAAGAGAGAGTAGAGAGAGTAGAGAGAGTAGAGAGAGTGCGATCCACGCGGATCGCATTCCCGAAGACAGAACACAAGACGTACTCTGTACTCTGTAGTCGAATAGACCAGCTAAACTCCCAACCGGAACACGTAACCGTCACTTTTGGAGAGAATATACACCGACACGAAACATCCGTCAGAAGATTTCAACCCAACATTCCCACATCCCGCTGCCCGTTACAAAAAACAATCAATCTCACCTGTATCGCAGTCTCCGGGCGAGGAATAGACATTTCGTTCGCATGCTGAGCTTTGCGTTAGCGCATCTGCAGCGCCCGCGAACAAAAGCGCTCCCACAGCCACAGTTATCGGGATGGCGGTAAGCCAACCAAAACGGAAGAAAAAGGAGGTCATGGTGTGAGGATTGCTCGCCGGATCGTCGAAATCTGCGAGGAACGGCGACATACATGAAGAATGCACACATACATGTTGTGGTCAATTGCGCCGTGCAATGCTGTCATCCTGCATTCCGTCACGAACTGAGAGAGGGCTATTGTTATCGACCAATAAAACACGAAAAAAAAAACGAAACCGTGTTTTCTTGAACATATATGGAGGCGTTTTTCCCCGAAAGCGTGAAAAGAAGGAGTCGGGTTTTTTTGGGGCTTGCTCTTTTAATGTTTTCGTGTTTTTGACAGAAACATCGGACAAGCGCACCGCGGGCGCTGTAACATCACTGAGAACGCTAGAAAGACCTGCCAGACTCACGTCCAGGTCTGTTGTGGAGATGGACAAGCGGCAGAAGCGGCGTTCAGTCCGTTCTTGGTCCAAAACTAGACATTGCGTGGTGCTCTCGTCTTCAACTGCTGCTGTTGGTGCTGGGGATTTTTTTTCGATCACACATAGCAAACACGGAAACAGTAGAACGAGTACAGCAGCACCACCAAGACCTCCAAAGCGCTGATTCCTTCTGTTCGGCTGTCTATATGATACCATCTCCCGGCGCCGTGCTGCTTCGTGGGTATTGGGTGCTTGGGTGCTGCTCAATAAGGTGTGTGAGAGACGTGTGCCACCTCACCAAAATGCCGTTGGAAACATTGCGGCGAGATGATCTGTTTTTGGTCGGACACATCAACATCAATCCACGGCGCCACGCAGCAGTAGAGCAACAGGGCCTCCAACACGCTAATTCTTTCGGATTGGCCATCTATATGATGCTGGCCGTCAGCGCGGCTGCCGCCCTATGATTGTTGAGCTCGTCTACCTTTGGGTAGGTGGTGGTCAAAGATGGGAGTCGCAACCGTGAAAAATGAGCTGGCAAACTGAAGAAATCGCAAGCAACACCCAGGTTGCGACACTCTGCCGTGCGCCTGTTGTTGCTGAAAACTGAAAACAGCAGGCCGGATGGACGGCATCTTTCTAAGTGTGTTGTACTCTGTGCCGGGTGCTGCTTATTGCGCTTTTATCGCTGCTCTATGGTGAGCAATACCATGCCAACCTGTTGTGTGCCGAGCAAAGCGTGTATTCAGGGAAGGAAACGTACTTTTTGCGATGACATCACGAAAAGAACAAGCAAAAAAAAGTCGGGTTTTCTTTTAACCGTTCCGTTTAAAAAAGAACGATTTCGACGTTGCGTTAATAATTGACATATTTCAAACTCGCGTTCCCGGTTCCTTGATATTTATTTGGCTATTTTTGTCCCGAACCATGGTTCAGGAATCTCCGTGGAAATCCAATTTCTATTTCAAACTCGTGGGGTACATATCTTTGAACGGGGAGGCCTTGATATATGGCTGTTCCGAGGTTAATATTCCAATACATGACGTGTAATCCGAAACTCCGTGCGCACACCTTGCTGCCACACATAAGTACTGCGCTGCAGCAGTATACAGCACAGTACGTTGGAGAGAGAGGCCAACTTGGAGAGACGGGAGACTTTCATAACTGCTACGCTGCTGTCAGCGAACTATGTTGAAAGAATACGCACGCCTGTGTTGAGACTTCGTATGTGGTTGGGATGTGTTTCAAGAGAGAGGCAGAGCGACACCACGCAGCGAGATGCTATTTTCCCTCTCTCTCCAGCTGGGCAGCTGGCTGAAATATCGCATGCATGCATGATGAACAGGATGATGAACACATCAACAGGCAGCCCCGGCTCGCTGCCAACACAAAGCACACACACCAGACACGTACACCCTAGCCACTCATGCCCCAGTTTAACCATGCACCTTTCAGGAGGGCACTCTCACGGTCGATGGTTATGATGTATGCATACTTATGTCACCAAGCGGAGAAGTCACCAAGCGGAGAAGTCACCAAGCGGAGAAGAACCTTTGGAAAGAAAAAACACACCACAACCGATTCTTGAGCGACAACAGCAGAGGATCGATGCATAACCGGATGAGAGATTCATGAAGCCATGCATACCTACATATGAATACTTGCGTGTGCGCGGTGTCAAAGCTCTGGGGGTGCGGGTCTAGGTTTTGTGTCCGTCCTCTGCCGTTATTTGCGTCTGAGCGAGATTGCCAGCTGCGAACACCTGGAGGGAGCGGCTGATGGGCGGAGCCGTTGGGTTTTTCAAGACGAGTTGCGGTGTTTTTTGCTGTGCTGATGTGCTGTAGTAGAAGAGGGTGTTGAATGCATAGACGAGGAGTGATGCACCATCTGTGATATATCTCAAGCAGGAGGACGGAGGGGTGGGACAACCTCCGAGGTAGAAGCCGCGCTGGCTAGCAAGCTTGCACGGTGGTAGCTGTTCGAGTGGTAGCGGTGTCCGTGCGGTTGATACCGTCGTGCGAGCTGTCCCTCCCTTCTGTCACGGGCGGAGGTACAAAAAGCTAAAGATCCTTCCTGAATAAATTTGTAATCGGGCCAAAACACCCCTCTGAATATTTATTCGGGAACAAAGATCCAGCCGTATTCTGACAGCGGGGACAGCAAGGACAGCGGAATGCTCGGGAACATCAGGCAGCGAATTGGCCGCTGAAAAAACAAGGTAGCCCGGGTCGAGACCCACGGTAAACAAACCCACACTATGGATCGCACCCAAGCTGGTGGTGTCTGTCTGCTGTGCTTGTGTAGACAAGAAGTTGTACATAGATGAGTCTCGTTCTCCGCGGGGTTGTTCTCTGTTCTCGGTGCATCGACTGCCGCATGCATAACTTTTGTGCAACTGCTAAACTGCTGGGCGTGCACCTGGTTCGCCTACAACTCGCCGCTCACTTGGTTTGGCGGAGTCTCCTCGGTCCCCCTTTCGCTGGGCGTAGACTGTGCATGCAGAGTGACTGACGGCGGCAGCGCACACGATGTGTGCTTGTTGATCCTCAAATCGTCAAATCTTTCTTGTAAAAAATAAAGCGACCTGGGCTGTTCAAAATAATGCGCTGCGAGTTGCGGTAGAGAATTTTCACTTTTTGTGGTTTGTTTGGTGTTTTGTTCTTCTACGCAGCATATCCCACATCCTGCTGTTTCCGTGCCACAGAGATTTGTCTCTTTCGTGCGAAGGCTTGTTTCTTCCTTTCAACCTGCTCTGTTGATTCACGCGCACCACGTTGAACGGGGCAGGAGACGGTGGGAGCAGATTCGCACTTCACCGGTGAAGCCCCAGGAAGAAAGAGCCTGACGCTCCTTGTATCGCCAGGTGCGGGTGAGTGTGACCACGCTGGGCGCTCGGCGCCCTGCGGCGAAAATCGGAATATCCCATCGTGTGTTCACCAGTTCATTGGACCAATTCGATGCAACAAGGGCAGCAGCCCTTGTAGCTCCAGACTTTAGGTTTGTTTTTTCGCGGGAGAGCTCAAAACTTACAACGTTACCATCACACGGGAGGAGTTGGGCGTCGCTTACGTTCACACCGCACCCACAGAAGTATATTCCCTCCGCTGAGCCACGCTGCTGGAGATCCGTGAACAATGATTTTCCTGCACAGCAGCCAGTCAGTAGTCTACATGGTGCAGCTGCTGCGCAGCGACCTCTAAAGAAGGCGTAAAAAAATGTTCCCGAAAGTGCTGTGAATACCACCTTTGTCGACACCAAGCCCAGCAGCGAGGCGTCTGAGCCGTAGAGTTGTGCAGTGGCTGTCTCTGACGCCAAGAAGTACCGAAATCGGCCGCTAAGTAGCCGCCGTCAACGAGTTCGCGGGGTCGCGAAAAATACGCCGAACTTTTCCGGCAGCGAACCGGCGGAACAATCCCAGATTTGGCGCAGATGCCAAACAACCTTGTACTTGTTGCTACGCAGCGCTAGATACAATTAGTACGTAACAAGGTTTCGGGAGATTGAGAGTGGATCCTCAGATTGAGAGCTAGGCACAACAGAAATGCCATTTCGGGCCTGCGCGGAAGTGTCGCTGGGTGGGCTGCAAAGCTGTGATTCTCTGATTCGACCAAGGAGCTGCTCAAACGAAAGCTGCCGCGCAAAGCGTGATTTTGATCTCAGTACATCTCAGTGGCATGTGATACAGAGTGGGTCCCCCGACTAGCGGCACCTACCGGCAGGCGAACAATATGCCGATATTCCGGGCAATGCCGCTTATCCTCTACATGCAGAGTATTATAGGGGAATATCTGCCTATATGTGTAGTCTAGAGGACAAAAGCCCGAGCGCAACAGAACAGCTGCGTCAAACACGTGCGTGCGTGTTGTGTGCCGTCTTTGGCCGCGGTACGGATTACATTTTTCGTGCGGGGTTCGACACAGCATCTCGGCCCGTTAAGCTGTACAAACCGTAAGTTAGTTTGGATTTCTCCCCGTGGGGGGGATCTGAAATCAACCCCCCCCTCCGGGGGGGAACTAAAGTACCGCGGTGGCCTTGTTTTTTCTCTCGTTCAACGGGGGGGAGGGTTGTGCGAAAATTTGTTGGTCCACACCCCACAACACCCGAACCCGCGATGGAGGAACGCAAAGAGACCGAAGAGGAACGCAAGGAGATACCGTGTGTTCAATGGAAGACGGGTGGTGAACGCAGGAAAAGTATGAAAGCACTTGATTCCCCCGATCAACAACGGCGAAGCCCCCCAAATTGTACATGGCCCACCAACTCTCGCTCGAAAATAATGTAGGTAGATAGTGCGCCCCTATCATCCTTTTGGACTTCGCAGTGCAGAAAAACCGGGCTCACAAAACAAGAAAATACGTCTCCCCCGGGGGGAACTCGTGGGAAATTATTTGTATTTCGTTTGCCCTCCGACAATTGCAGATAGATATAAAATCAAATCCAACATCATGCTCACTTCTTCATTCACTAGAATTTTACCATATGATACCTATCTGCTGATACTTACACATACATATTCATTCACTAGACATGAACCATATTATACCCCTCTACTGACATCTACATATTCAGGCGTATTGAATAGTCTATGTATGTGTATATTACGTATTGTTTTATTTATGAATCTGCAATTGTCGGGTGGCAAACGAAATAATAATAACATCTACTTACATCGATGATATATTATTTCATTCACTGCGAATAGACGTTCACCATATTATACCTATGATATCTACACACCTATATCAATCTGAAACGTTGACCGCAGCTGTATGACAATGTACTACTTCGAAGAAGGTGTTCTCATGAAATACATCCCCGGGGGTAAATTGAAGAACCCGGGGGGATCATTTGTTTTTTGGAAATCGATCTAGACTACTACCCGGGGGGGATCAAAGAACTCATGCTTCCAGGCCGAAAAGGTGATTGGGGGAAGGGAATCAAAAAGGGGGTGGGAAATCAAAGTAACTTCCGGAGAGATCTAGAGGTACATGCCCGTCAAGTAACAGCCGGTCATGTGTGAAAGATATGTCATGCCCGTCACGTGACACCGATGCCGAATATTATCCTGTTGTATTCTTATCCCTTACCCAGATCATTCAATGTAAGTATTGGATTTGGTTGGGTGAGGCCTCCTGCGCCTGCAGGAGGGCCTCGCCACAAGTAACCCTTTGGGCTGGGTGTACCCAGGCCCAAAGTGTTTGAATGATCAGCAAGTTCATGAATATAGTAAGCATTGTGTAGGGCGGGTGGGATGGTCTCAAATATACCCCTTCTTCTCTGCTCCGGCGTATTTCGGGAGAGAAAAGGGGGACTGAACTAGGTGGGGTCATTTTCCAACATCCTTTCTGGAATATCTGACTCTTCTCGATTTCGTTCCGAAATCTAGATGCGTCTCAAATCCGAGATTACTGTTGTATTCTTATCCCTTACCCAGATCATTCAATGTAAGTATTGGATTTGGTTGGGTGAGGCCTCCTGCGCCGGTCTGTGGTCCCGCCCATTACTTTCTTGTTAATTATCCGATCTGTCACATCTTATTTATTGACCACTCACGCCTCTAAGCTAGGTCTCGCCCACCCAAACTTTCTTATTTTTCGCGGCGAGCACACGCAGAGAAATCGCATGTGAAGTCAGCCGACAACGGCAACGCGTTTGAGTCTGCGTACAGCTCGCTCCGGATCCTCTTGGAACCCGTTGCCCCCACACTAGTAGTGGCGCCAACATATCGCTTCGCTACACTCTCCGTACGCCACCCGGCAATTTTCATGATAGCGTCCATCGCCGTTCCGTCAAGCGACTGCGCTACCGAACCTCCAACGCGGAACGAATGCATAGTGTAGCGGTGCGGCAGTCCCGCCGCTCGCAGATGCCCTTGTAGGGCAGCCGTCATCTGAACCGCCGTAAGCGGAGCACAGCCCCGAGTTCCATCCAGCAGAACGATAGGAAACAGATGTCCTTGGGACAAATCCCAGCCAATACCCTCCGCCGCACTGATGTAGGCCGTAACATTGCTTACAGCACAAATAGACGGGCAAGCGACGTCCGGACGCACGACCACGGCATCAACGGAGTCGCGGAGGGTCTTGCCGAATTGGAAGTTGAAAATCAGACCCTGCCCCGCGGGCAACCGCAGAACTTGCGATCCCATAGTGAAGGAGAGATCATGGCCTCGCCGCATGGAGGCGAACGCCAGCGAAAACAAAGCGACGTCCCTGGTGAGCTCAATACGTTCCGCCAAAGAGGACGCAGTCTGCGCGCGAGAGCGCATGTCCCTCAACAGATCGATGAGGACGTGCGGTAACATAGCCTCTGCCTGGTTGACAGCGACACCCACACGTTTTTGTTCCTCCCCCGTGAAGACGAGGTAGGAGTCGACGAGAGGACTACAACAGGGGTTGCCCGAGCGCGTGGCAGGGTCCCAGCTGCTGTCTTTTCCCAACTGTTCTTGCATCGCCATCTTCAGCTTGGACACGATCCCTTTCTGCATGGACGCGGCAGCATACCGCTTAGCACATGGCGAGTTTGGAAGGCAATCGCGGCCGTGAGTCGTACCGACACCAGGGCATGCCCTGTCGTGCACCCACTTGGTACCACTACCTTGTGTGTCCAAGAAGCAGAGATAGTCAAACACGTCTCGGTCCGACGCCTGCTTCCAACCCCGACGTTGTTGAGTCGCCGAAAGTATGAAAGCGTCGAACCCGTCCGCTACGGCGCACTTACGCTGTTGAGCACGACGGTTAGACGCGGCCGAGAGGACCTGATCACCCCGAGCGCGCAGCGCGTCGAAATCGATCAACACCCGAGCCGCTTGGGGGTCACGCGGTACCGGACGCCCGCGGGCAGGCTGAACACCGCAGGACCAACAATAGTTGTAATGTCCCACGTTTTCCGTCTGGCACGACGAACACGCGACAAACTGGACACAGCCGCCCGGAGGCAGGGTGGGGACCTGTGAGACGAAGCACAAAAAGTCCACAAGCCAAAGGGA